AAGCCCCAAACCCATAAACCCTAAACCCTAACCCTGGTCCGACGACAACAGGAGCTTCATTGGCCTTGGCTTTGGTCCACAGCCGAGCTTCCTGACGTGCTTACAGAGTTTATTGCAGTTAGGGTTTATGGCATTCAGGGGGTTTTAAGGCATTTAGAGTTTAGGGTTTATGGCATTTAGGGTTTAGGGTTTATGGCATTTAGGGGGTTTTAAGGCGTTTCTGTCGGGTGTTTGGTGTTTTGGCTTGTGAGATGTTCATGTCGGGCGTGCGATTCGGGGAGGTTTCACCTCTGTTGCTATCACCCCTCGGCTTCCAACATGAAACGACATGGGGACGCAAAACTCCATGGGGTCGACTGCAGCCCTTATAAGCGCAGAAGAGCCTAGCATGCGAAGCCCTGAACTCAAAACTCTACCTTCAGCTGCCATCACATGGTTGTTTGCAGGGTTTGTTTGCAGGGTTCCTACAAGTCCATCTTTGGGGTCTAAATTTAATAGCATTAGGGCCCTACCAAAGCAGCAGCTGATGGAATCCCACATCGAAGGGCTCTAACTCGGCATTTCTGCGAAAGGCTTCTGGGAGGCGTGGTCGCTGCGGGATTCTTCCGCCTCCTCCGCCGCGAGGCGTCGCAGCGAGCGGGCTCTTGGACATGATATAGAGGTCTGACAGACAAATCTTGTATCCTGTTGTGGTCCCTACATAAAACCCTAAACCCCTAAACCCTAAACCCTATGACATAAATATACCTGAGACACAATTCGCATTGTTAGGGCCGCGGTAATTTTTCGGTTTCGGGCCGGGTTTCACACTCGGTTTATAGGGCCTCTTGTGGTAACCGCATGGCGGGTAAGTTGTTCTATCGCAACCCTTAAAACAAGTCACCCTTATAAAATAGCAGCCCTTTTAAAACTTGTACGCCTGAGCTCTGTAAGCCCTAAAGTCAGCAATCAGTTTTATTTAGTAACCCTTGGCGTGATCAGTGGCCATGCGTGGCTCTTCCTACAGCAGTCGGAGCAGCCATGGCTTGGGGCTTTGGGTTTCAGCCACATCCACCAATATTGCCACGTGCAGGCCGCTGACATGAAAGCCATAAACTCAAAGACCCCCAACACCTAAACCCTAAATCCTAAACCCAAAACCTTACACCCTAAACTGGCCCTAAACCCTAAACCCTAAACCCAAACTCCTGCAACCAAAAGCCATGATGCCCTAAACCCTGAGTTCCCAGAGCCATGAAGGCATCAAGCCGTAAAGCTCCCAAAACCCCAGGCGGCGGAACGTTTCAGGGCCTCGTTTTCCTGGGCTGTTTAGTTTAAAGTTTAGGGGTTTAGGGTTTAGGCGGTTTAGGGTTTATTTAAAGAGCTTCATGTAAGGTTTCCGAATGAGGGGAAAGTATGCATATTTCACCGCGAATGTTTGCTATGGCAAACACAACTCTTGATCCCTCGCAAAAAGGGTTTGTCAGTTTCGGGACTCCGCTTGCCTGGAGGAGTTTGCGGAAGACGCCACAGATGTGACTTAGATGCAGAGTTTTTGATTTTGCAAGAAATTTTCTGCAAGGGTTGTAACTGCCGGTGTTCTGTAAGGTTTCCTTTAAAAGGGGTTTGTAAACAAGGTTCCAATCGAGGTTCCGTCAAGAGACTCTGGGTTACATGATTCTATAGTGGGTTCGACAAACGGGTGCTAGACTGGTTCCGTCCATAAGGGCGGTAAGCAGGTTCTATAAGGGTTCTAAACAGGTGCTGTCAGCCATGGGTTCTGCTTGTCCTTTAGCAAAGGGTGCTATGCTGGTTCTATGGAGGTGAGCCGACAAGATGAGTAGGTAGTCTCGGAGAGGCTTTAGGGAGTAGGGGTTTAGGCTTTAGGGTTTCGGGGTTTCGGGCCAGTTTTGTGTTCTGAGGGAAAGAAAGGACTGAACTGTTCGTGTATATCGTGCAGAGCTTTTCTGGTTAGTATAGAGGCTTAGAATAATTGCCAATATCAGAATCATGCTACAAAGGCACCCAACACCCTACTTTAATGGTTAATATAGGGTCCTATATAGCTACCAATACTATTTTGGGGGTTCCTTATCATAGTCATAGTTATAGTATAATATACCACAAAATTCTATTCTAATTGTTAAGGCGTCTATATTACCTTAGGGTTCGAGAATTTTGTTGATGCTTTTCCAACCTGCTCCTTAAAGGGGCCGTCAAGCACGGTTACTTCAAAGCACAGACTAAGTAAGTTCCGCGAACTTCCCATGGTCCAATACTGTTCGGCCGAAATGGCTCAGACTGCTTTCGCCCAGGGACCCGTGATTCGGCCCGTGATCCTCGACCCGAAAAATCCCGAAGCCCTTGACTGCCGTATTACTGTACTCTCTGCAGAACCTTTAAGCCCCTCAAAACACAATACAAACCCAAAGGGTCCTATGTACCTTTCTGTAGTAGAGTCTAGGGTTTCTACGTTAGGAATTAATTCCGATTGTGACTTAGGGAAGTTTCCCCCCATAACAGTACATAGGACCCTGTGAGAAAGCAAAATAAGACAAGCAACCTTCAACTCCACAGGAGGGCCTCGCAAAGCACGCAGCCGGGCTTGGCACTCGTTGTGGGGCAGAGTTGCTTGGGGCCTACGTGCTGACCCTGACGGCGGGTCAAGGGAGTGGGGGGGGAGTTACCGTAAACCCCTAAACCCTAAACCCCTAAACTCTAAATCCTAAACCCCTCAACCCTCAACCCTAAACCCCGAAACCCTAAACCCCTAAACACCTAAACCCTTGGTGCTCAGGGTTTCCGGGAGGGGGGGGGGGGCCGGAGGAAGGGATCAGGTCTGATATATGGGCTTGACTCGTTTGCACTCAGGGTGTCAGGTTTTCCAAGTTTTGGGCTTGAGGGTAATGTAGGGGCCTTAATAATAGTAATTAGAATTGGGTTTTGAGGGTTCCTTAGTAGAATTATATAGTATGATATAGCCCCAAACCCTATTCTAATTTTTAAGGCCCTGTATTACTTGGTGTCGTAGACACCGCAAGTCTGCAGCCAAATGTGGGCATCTTGGGCATGACATGGCACGAGCGGTTCGGGGGCACTGAGAGCCTATGACTGCTCTTCGGATGCTTAGTTCCCCAATATCCAACCTTCAAACTTTCAACTTTTTGGGCTCTTATAATTTAGTAGTACTCTGAAAGCTTAACCTTGCATTTCTGTGGTTTATCGGGGAAGTAAGGATAGGGTAGAAGGGCCATGCTCGTCAGTGTCGAAGCCATGTAGGATTTGCAATATCATACACCCCGTCGCAGGCATGTTTTGACTATTGCGGCCACTAAATATAGGCTTGCACTGAATTCTTGGTGGGTAGCCTTGATCCGCGGATAGCTATCACCCTCTCGGGTTTGGAGCGTATGGGACCAACCAAACCATCGGCATTTTGGGTGAACTCCTGCTTCGGTGGCAATCGTGATAGTCAGTGATTGTATTCATTACTAGTAGTATCACAAATTTTCTCAAAGGGATGATTTCTTTTGGCGTCCTTGATGTTTTCGTTCATGTCTATGGCATCAGGATGAACTTGGATGTTCTGAGCTCTTGCGAAGAAGGTTTCATGCAGCTTTTAGTTGTTTGCATGCGGTGCTGACGGTCTCACCTTCCATTTGCTTTCACGGTTATGCAAAAGCCTCAAAGTTTAATCTTGAACTTTACCTTGCAAACCCGAACCACTGAATCCCAAACTCTGCAGCCGCGGATTCTAAATCCTTACCCAACCAGGGTGGCGAAGTCCTCGCCAGAAAGGGTTTCAAAGAGGGGGCTTGCAGGGTTGGGGAGAGCGTCCAACTTAGTTCCCCAGTACCCAACCTTTAAACTTTTTGGGTTCTTATGATTAGTAGCAATCTCAAAGTTTTTCCCTGGCTTATTGCGGAAGTAAGGCAGAGAGCGTTCAAATAAAGGTTCTGTAGAGTGTGATGATGGTTGTGGTAATTCGAAGCCCTGAGCTCCCTGAATTAAACGCCGTGAGGGTTGTTTCTGGCGAAAGAGATGATTGCCATCTTCGAGTTTCAGCTTAGGGTTTAGGGCTCTGGGGTATTGAAGCTCTAGGGTTTTAGGGAACAGGCTCGAGAAGCAGAGAGCATGAGCAGGTGGGCCTGAACTTGGTGGCCAAGTCTCCTGATGCCTGCCTGAATCTGGGGGCCCTAAGCCCTAAACCCTAAACTAAACCCTAAACCCTCAACCCGGGTGACAAAAAAAAAACAACCCTAAGCCCTAAACCCTAAACCCTAAACCCTAAACTAAACCCGAACCCTAAACCCGAACCCTAAACCCAAAGCTGAGCCCCGAGCCCCCGGCCCAAGCCTCAAATCCTCATCCTTGTGGCCTCGACTCCATCGCGAGCGCTTTGGAAGTAGGGTTTAGGGGTTTAGGGGGTTTAGTGGCTTAGGGTTTAGAGGTTTATTGGTTTGGGGTTTAGGGGTTTGTTGGTTTAGGGGTTCAGGGGTTTAGGGTTTAGGGTTCAATGGCCCTCAGTATACATACTGATGCCGAAGCCCAACACCCTAAACCCTGAATCCCTAAACGCCCCATCTTAGATATTAGGTGACTCGGCACTTGCAGCGTTTGTTTGCCCCAGCAGTGCTAAACCATAAACCACAGACCTCAAAGATGTAAACCTTATCCAAACACAGACTAGACTTGAGTGGAGGTGCGGTTCAGAACCTGTGTTTGTAATCGAACGGAATAACTGATCCTAGTATGCCTTTCCAGTCCCTTTTCGAAACTAACCCTACAGCAACCCCTAAAACAGGAATCTTATTGGTATGAGTCAGTCCCCTATATTAATCCCTGGAGGTAACCCCTGCAGTAGCCCTTATAGACCCCTTTAAACGGATTTGTTTAAAGGGGCATCGTATTCAATTTGTTTTAAAGTCACCCTAAACCCCAAACCCTAAACCTTAAGCCCTCTTAAGGCAACCGCCTTCTCAGCAGCTGCAGCGCTCACTTGCATGATCTACTCGCTGGGCAGCGCACTCAGTGTATACCCTTAACATCGGGTGAAGCCTCCGCCTTAAAGCACAAGACCCGAACCACAGAAGCCTGCCCTAAACCCTAAATCCTAAACCCTAAACCCTGAACCCCGCATCTCGCAGTTCAGGTACGACGAGCCCTTCATCCTTCCAAAAACACAATGCCCAGCATCTTAAGCTCACAGAGAACACACCCGGAGACGCCACGGTCCCTCATGGCTCATAATTACTCGGTTTACGGTTTAGGGTTTTAGGGTTTTAGGGTTTAGGGTTTAGCACTCATACGTGTCTACGGAACATATGGGCAGTTCTCTAAAGTAGGGTCCCTTTTGGGGGTCCTTTTAATACGGGTGCCGTACTATATTGGGGACCGAAAGCGGGACCCCAATTTAGAAAACTACCCAAATCGCAAAGCGCAGTATGGATCTTTAATGCGAGACCCTGCGTTAAGGGATATCGCAGTCTCTGGGAGCGATCTAGTTTCCAGCAGTGTTCTGGGCCCTCAGTAGACCGGTGGTTCTCACCCCTTGTGAGAACCCCTGCCGTTCAGGGCTTTGGGTTTAGGTTTCAAGCTGAGGGCCGCTAACCCTCCTTAGGCCTACATTCCCAAAGGCTCCATGTACCCTTATAGTATATACCTAGGCTTCAAAGTACCTATACAGGAACCCCTTTAAGGCCTAAGTATGTACTATGTGAGCACATGGAGCCTGAGGGAATATTGTAACATGTCCGAAACCCTCACAGCACGTAGATCTTGGGTGCTGATGTTCTTCAACACGAAGATCGGCAAATCTAGAATAGCCCTCTTCATTGAGAGAGTTGAACATGGGCAAGCAGAAGCTGACTGCCACTGGCCGAACCGAAGGAGACTGCTGATGCAATCAGCCGACAACCGAATGCTTCTAGCAACCCTAAACCCTGAACCCTAAACCCTAAACTGATCATTGACGAGATCACTCCGGTTCTCAAGCTTTTGGAAGAAATACGGAAGCGTGCATTCTTGAAGCGAGAGGCTCGAAAGTGGGATGCGCGCATCGGAGACCGTGGCATCCTTGTCTCAGGGCTTGTCAAAATCCAGAGAGCCCAATACCTCTCAATGAAGGAATATACCTTAAATCAGAATACTAAGCCCCGTAGAATTTAAGGTATATTCACTATTTAAGGGGTATTGGGCTCTTTGGGAAGCTGCAGTGACCCTGGCGCTGCATGTCCTCAGCCTGAACATGTCTGGAAATCCCAAGCGGCTATGGGGGTTTATGTAGCGGTCGACGAGTTCAGGGCTTCATGATCATAAATCCCATCCAAGCTTAAAGCAAGAGGTACTCTTTCCATAAGTGTCAACCCCTAAACCCCTTCACCCCTAAAGCCGCTAAACCCCTAAACTCCTAAAACCACTAAAACCCCTAAACCCCTAAAACCCCTAAAACCCCTTGATCCCTTAAACTCCTAAAACCCCTAAAACCCCTAAACCCCCAAAACGAACCCCTAAACCTGAGTTCGATGAGAGACCCATGCAGATCGGCCCTCCGGTTTAAATTTTTATGTCTCCCAAACTGGTTTTTGGGTTGTGGGTCCCTGTTTTTTAAAGGTTCCTTAGGTAAAGGGGCTCCTATGGGGTTTCTATAAGGGCACTATAAGGATTCTTTTGTCTTTTGGGTTCCTTTTCTTTTTAAGGTTCCGTCAAGGGATCTATATGGGTTCCTATGGGGTTTCTATAATTACAAAGGGTACTATCAGGATTCTTTTGGGGTTGAGGGTCCCTTTTTTCAAGGGTGCTGTTCTATTTTGGTGGCCTAAAAGCCGGCCTACTTTAGAGAACTACCGCTACCCATGAGGCCTTCTACCGAAGACATAGACTCTTCCGCCCGAAGGTTTGTTCGGACCGTTCGGGCGCCTGCCTTTATCCGGGATCCGCATGGCGCAGGGGCGAGTATATATTCTATGATTCTGGATTATGTTCCCTAAACCCTAAACCCTAAACCCTAAGCCCTAATGCCCTAAACCCTAAACCCCCCAAGTTATGTTGTATTATGTTTTTGTTATATGCAGTCATATTGTTCTTTTGCACTGTCAGTTCCAGGGCTTCGAGGTTTGCCTATGTCTGGCACATGAGACCTGGTCCTTGGCAACCGACCCCAATGTCTCAAACCCAAGGTCAATCACACCGGGCCATCCCTAAACTAGGTTCTGGAGTACCATTCTTGCATACCTTCTTTTGGGTACCTGTTCCTTTAATGGAACCAGAATGACATGAAAGTTTGCGAAAGTTTACACTTTTTTCTCCCGGGCTACTTCAAAGCCCAGCAAAGCCCCTGTAAGAGTTTATGCGACCCTTTAGAACCATAAAAACCCTGTATGTAGTTGCGTAACAGTCACGGATTCCTAAACCCCAAACCCTGAACCTTAAACCCTAACATAACAAACCCTAAACCGAACAGAAAGGGATCCCGAAAAAGGCAACATCTCTGGCGCCCACCTCAACCCAGCCGTGACGCTGGCCGTGTCCTTGCGCGGGAAGTGCACCGCGAAAGATGCAGCCCCTTGAGGGTTTAGGGTTTAGGGCCCTACAGCCGTACGTTTTTCGGGTTTAGGGTTCAGGGAGGTTTAGGATTTTCGGCTTCGGCTGAATTGTGCGCTGCACTTAATTACCTGTAAGAGCTTGAGGGTCGGGCTGTCCGAATATGGTAGTCGGCGTAAACACTCGGGGCTGCAGTTGGCTTTTGGAATAGATTCCACGTGGCTCTGGATCACGGTTCGTGTGCCTGCGGCCCATGTTGGATGTGAGTGATTTCGCTGGTTGCTGCCGCACCCAAATGACCCAACATTGCTTAGCTTAGCTTCTCGCAACAAACATTGCGCAATTCGCGCGAGTCGTGCGACCTCTATGAAATATCGTCAAAACTGCTTGGATTAAGATGCCATGCAGTTGTTGCCCAGACGCATGAACTTGTCAACTGCACTTGCGACTGTTTCAGAAGATGTTTAGCTTATTGGAATTCTTCGCCGTTGTTTAAAGGGATCTCCGTCGAGCAGACGTTGTTCTTGCTCACCTCTGAGAGTAGTAAGGCGAAAGGAGTTCCATTTGAGCAGCGTGATGCTCTCACAAATCTCCGTACCGTATACCCTAAACTACACCCACAACCACAACTCCCTAAAGTATCACAAATCCCTGGACCTCAACCCGAAGCTTTTAAACCCAAAATCCTAAACTTTGAACCCTAGACAGAGGTTTGCTACATGCTTTGCCAGCTCTTTGGGGGCCTCCTCGCTGGGATCACGTCGGCCTTCTTTCAGATGAACTCCGCGAGCCTCACTAGAAACTTTAGAAATCGCTCGTAGGGATTAGGGTTTAGGGTAGCAGCAGCAGTAGTAGGAGTAGGAGAGTAGGAGTAGCCGGACCCGTCGCCGTCGCCGTAACAGGAAGTACTAACAGTAGAAAGTACCAGGAGCAGGAGCAGGAGCAGCAGCAGCAGAAGGAGCAGCAGCAGCAGCAGCAGCAGCAGGAGAAGCAGCAGCAGGAGCAGCAGCAGCAGCAGGAGCAGCAGCAGCAGGAGCAGCAGCAGCAGCAGGAGGAGGAGCAGCAGGAGCAGCAGCAGCAGGTGCAGCAGGAGCAGCTGCAGCAGGAGCAGCTGCAGCAGGAGGAGGAGGAGCAGGAGGAGTAGTAGTAGTAGTAGCCGTAGTAGCAGTAGTGGTAGCGGTGGTAGGTAGTGCTGGTAGTAGTCGTGGTGGTGGTGGTGGTGGTGGTGGTGGTGGTGGTGGTGGTAGTAGTAGTAGTAGTAGTAGTAGTGGTAGTAGTAGTAGTAGAAGAAGTAGTAGTACGTAGTAGTAGTAGTAGTAGTAGTAGTAGTAGTACGTACGTAGTAGTAGTACGTAGTAGTAGTAGTAGTAGTAGTAGTCGTAGTAGTAGTAGTAGTAGCGGTAGTATAGCACCAGTTGTCATTGTTGGGTCTGACTTACAGTTCTAGTTCTGTTGGAGCTTTGACAGCCCCCAGGATGGCGAAGATGTCGATCGTGCTTCAGCCCGGGAAAAAGTACCAGGCGGGCTTCTGCCGGTTCGAGATTACTCCAAGGATCAGTGGATGCAGCCTCGATTGTTTCTGTTTAGGATGTGAGCATAGGATGCAAGAGTTCAGGGTGCACTTAAAGTCTTAAAGGGTTGATGGCTTGCTACATATTCCAAAATTTGGCGATGAGTACCCTAAGTGGGGCTGTCCCAATTATAAACTGCCACGCCCATAGGCAGGTAGTGAAACGGCAAGCCGTCGGTGCTAAAGCCCCCCCAAAGCCTAAAGTCAAAAAACAAATCCCTCTAGCCCTACAGGCTAAATCAAAACGTCAAGAGCCGCGATACTCAGACACGGATTTCCCAAGACACCATGAAACCAGGCCGTGATTGCTATTTCGTTGGAATCTCCTCGGAGCTCCAACAAGTCCGCTTGCTGGGCCCTCCTGCCCCCAAGAGCGATCAGGTGGGACAAGCGTGCGCGGCAGAGCTCCTCTTCACCATGATCCTGGCCTATGCCCCTTCGGCTGCAAACAAAAGGATGGCTGATTGCTTAATGGATTGTCGGGCTCAAACCGAGCAGAATTTGTAGAAAGAGCAAAACACAAGGTCTAAACCCCCATACCTCTAAAACGTTATATCTAATACCCTACGCTTCCCACCCGAGAGAGCTTTTTGAGCATTTTTCTGCATGCCCACAACCGCAAAGCTGGAGGTGGTGCTGACAGTGGCCACCACGGACACTCCGGCAGAGTGGAAAACGCGGCTCGCTGTTGAATGCCGGAGGTTTAGGGGCTCCCCTGGGCAACCGGGTTCAAGGCTGCATGTTACAGCGCTTGCGGGTCATAGGAGACATGAGACCACAACCTGTAGAAGGCGTGAGCTCGAAGGACCGACTGGGATGGTGAGTAAGCATGTGGAACAGCACCTGAGAATCATGCGCCGATGCGTGCAGTTTATGTTTTGGCAACATTAGAATAATAAACAATAAACCGAATAACGAAATGCATTCAGAATACATAGATAGATAGATAGATAGATAGATAGGCAGACAGACAGGATGCTTGTGTGCTCGTACGCTTGTCTGCATGTCTGTAGGAAGGTATGCGTGTTGCATGCATGCATGCATGCATGCATGCATGCATGCATGCATGCAAGTACTCATGCCTGCATGCATAGATCTCTTACACACTTTACACACAACACCAACGTTCCTTCGTTACATAAAGACGTACGACGTACATGCATGCGTGCATACATACATTCGTTCCTTCTTTCGTCGAATTATTCCTTGAATCATTCAGTGTTTCGTGTTCTTTTACTATCTTTTTCAAACATACATAAGTACATACATACAGACATGCATGCATACCTACATACGTCTCTGCTTTGCTTACTATTCTTATATGCCGACATACCGAAGCACTTACACACCTAGTGATCTGGCATGTTCACTTGAAATTTCGGTCTGAGGTTCCAGACTTTGAGGACTTGTGGGCTTATTACCCAAAGATTCCTATGTACTGCTATGGGGGATCCTTCCCTACATCATAGTAGTAACTCCTAACATAGGAACCCTACATTCTGCTTTAGAACTTTAGAAGGTACAGAGGACCCTTTGGCTTAGGAAAGCTGCATCATCGACGTTCATTTCGTGGTCGGGTCCTCTTTAAGCCCTACCCGCAGCTTTCAAGTCAGCCTAAAGGGCTACTGGTATGCTGCTTTCGTGGTCTAAGTAGAAACCCAAACAGCCCAATACCACTGAATTAAGGAATATACCTTAAATTATACGGGGCTTACTATCATGATCTAAGCTATATTCCTTAATTAAGGGGTATTGGGCTCTCTGGGAACCCTAAACCCTAAACCCTCCCAATCGTGGGTTTTGACTCCTGAACTCTAAACCCTTTAGACCTCGGAGCTCTTGGGCGTAAATCCTGCAGCACAGAGGAAACAGAATGCCTACTTTGGCCTGGCCATCGGCGCGTGTGTGACTCGGATTTACCTAGTGCAGGGCTTTCAGGCCAATATTATATATCATGATCTTATATCTGATATTATACAGTATATGATCTAAGTATTTTGCTATATTCTCTTACATGATAACCTTTGATCATTATCATTGTGCTTATTACCAGTATTACTATTGTTATACTAGAAAAGCTTGTTCCTTGCAGTACATTATACTGTATTTTTCCTGCACTATAAAATCCTTGAGTGCTTACCACATATTCCTTGTTCCCCCCTCTTCCACCTCAAAATTTTGCAAGTTTGGGGCCGCGTCTGTCGACTGTAGGATCCACAAAGATGATGCCTTCAAGCTCCTAGGTCCTAATTAAATCATATTATTACTACTTTGGGTCCTTTTTTGCGGGTTCCTTAAAGGGATCATATATCGTTTTTATAGGATTTTTTAAGGATGATAAGGATTCTAATTAACTGTAAGTGTACGCCAAGCCTCATTTTAGTTGGCACTGCCCCTACAGCATGGATCCCTGAGTCTAACCATTCGAACCTGAACGCTGAAGACGCCCCCATCTAGGGTTTAAAGGTTCGGGTTTAGGGTTTAGGGTCTTCAGCACCAGTCCAAGAATCTTGGAATGATGGAATGCTTTCGGTATGATAAGGTCGGGTCTGTCAGGTTGACACCCTCAACCCTAAACCTTAAACCCTAAACCGACATTCCTAAGACACCCTAAGCCCTAAACACTAAACCGACATTCCTAAGACACCCTAAACCCCAAACCCCTAAACCCTAAACCGACATTCCTAAGCTATACTATGAGCCCGCCTCGCCACGCAGGTGACCGTTGGCGGCTTCGCTTCGTCTGCTATCTCTGGAGGCCTGTCACGCATGACGGTGAGGGGAAAATGGCAGGCTTGAAGCCGGGTTTAGGGCCTTTAGGTTGCAGGCTTTAGGGGTTAGGGGTTTAGGGGTTTAGGGGTTTAGGGGTTTAGGGTTATCTTCGTTCCTAGTGGGCAGCCCTTGAATCGCTTGAGCTCCTTCTGACAGGGAAGCTGACCAATTTCATTCCTCCTAACTGCCTGAGGCGAGCTGAACCCGGCGGTGTCCTTGGGCATCTACATGGGCAACGTGGTGAATCCGGGGCACGCTGGGGTAGCCCGGACGCAACTTGAGATGCCCAAGACGCCACAGCCCTACGCTCCAGAGTTTGGCAGTAACTTTGTGTCCGTGTGGCCAGTTCTGTTCATCTGGTTTCTTTTGACGCCCAAAATGGAGAACCCGCCTCACGCGTGAGAGGATGCCATATTTCATGGGTCCCATACAAGAGAAGTCGCAGGGTTGGCCATCAGACCCACCAACTCCCTTCATAACCCTAAACCTTTATTTAAACCCTAAAACCTAAACCCTTAATTCAATGCTTTCTCAATCGAGTGGAGCACTCAGAATGTGTACAGGTCGGCCTATTCTCCAACTTTGTCCTCTTCGCGCTGTCGGAGGTGGGGCTGCCCGGGTGAAAAGCCTCCAGCCCAAGACTCCCGAAGGATCCTACGGTTTAGGGTTTAGGGTTTAGGTTTGAGGGTTTAGGGTTTAGGATTTAGGGTTTGGGGCTATCATGATTCTATTTTCAAAAAATCAGGAATTACTATTCCTAGACCCTAAACCCTAAACATTACTACTCTGGTTCTACTTTCAAAAAACTAGGAATTACTATTCCTAAACCCTAAACCCTAAACATTTACTCTTATGATTTAGGGAAGTATCTGTCCCTCCTAAGAGTACACAGGACCCTTTGGGACTGTTAAAGCCAAGAAGTACGCCTGCCATTCCCTAAACCCTGAAGCCCAAACCCCAAACTAAAAGCCGCACAAAACCTCTAAACCCTAAACCGTAAAAACGGCATTGCTATGACTCTAGAAACCGCACGAAGAAGTGGACATTCTTTGGAGCAGACGAGTTGACACGAAAGCTTCTACCTTGAGGGGTTCAGGGTTTGTCTGCAAAGCCCAACCCTAAAGCCTAAACCCAAGGAAAAACTCCAAAGGCCTTGGGCCAGAACCGGGTAGTTCTTTAAATGAGGGTCCCTTAGAAAGTCCTGTTTCTCAAGGTGCAGTGCTGACCTAAAAAGGGATCCTAAGTCAGAAAACTACCCAACCCCGTGCAATACCGATGCCGATGTCCAGATGTGAGTCATCTTCATCCCCAAGGAACCTTAGACTCTAGACCCTAAACACAGCCCACAGAGCCCTAAACCCTGCCAGCAGCCCCCCAGCTACCCCACATTAGACCCTAAGTGCCCACCGTGATGCACCAGAAGGCCTCTGTGAAGTCGTACTTGGGAGGTGCTGGCAGACCCTAAACCCTAAACCCTAAATCCTAAAACCCTAAACTTTTAAACCCTAAATCC